TTACACTAGACTGAGAGTGAAGCTTCAAAATAAAGGTCCATTAACTTCATGTAGTTGTTTCTTCACCCGTCGTCCGTTCATTGAACGTCTTGGAGCTCCAAGTCATGATCTGATATTTTCAGACGGAGCAACGATGTAAACGTTTCACTTCCTGCATGAACTTTGACATGTTCAGACGGTGACGAGCGTTCGCCAGGTCCAGTTTGGTGTTTCACCTGGTTCTTAGGAACATGAACATCTAGGAGTTTGTCTTTTGTCTTCAAGTGACCAACGAAACGAGCAGATTCAGGTTCGATGAGCAGGAACGTTGGAAGACGTCAAACCGAACGAAGCTGCTGCTTCATCAGATCATGTTCCTCGTGAATGAACTCAGCCGAGTCAGATCTGTGCGAACCGTTTTTTATACTTCACACTAAACAAAAGGATCCAACGGTCCAGAACCACTCTGTTCTGTCGGTTCCGCTCACCTTTGCGGTCCTTCAGGTACTCTGGGTCGACGAGGATGACTCCATCTGAGGAGACGAAGAGTTTTACTCATTTAAACTGAAAAACAGAATCCTGCGGTCCGGTTAGGAACTCACCCACTGGGTCCACGTGGTCCAGGTGGTCCACGAAGTCCCTTTTCCCCAGATACACGGTGAGCTGAAAGAGCAGAGAGGACAATCAGCTCCAACACACGACCCACGTTCCTGTTCCTCATCCTCGGGTGGTGAAGACCACGTTTGATCCGACACTTTGGAAATAAATACAGGAGATATTTTGCAACCTGGCAACACGCTGCTTTCTGAAGCTCAGGGTTGCCAGGTCTGGCTGTTAGAGGTGTAAAGACACATTTTGAGATTTAAACGGTCTCACAAACCCAGAATCGACCCGGAGGTTCTGATTCAGTAAAACCTCCATCCGTCCAATCCTGTGTGGCAGCAGCTCAAACACGTCAGACTCTAGGACCCCGCGGTCGCAGCTTCCTCCTGCAGCTACGTGCTGAGAGGAAGAGTCACTTACACCCAGAGGAGGATCGGACCAAACTGCCCCCCCCCTCCATGAAGCTGTCTGAGAGTTTCACTCTAATGTCCTGAGTTTCCATGACAGCCGACAGATTCATAGATTTATTTAACGTCGTTTTGTTTTCTGTTGTAAATTTAAGTTGAAACGTTTGTTATTATTGATAATGAGGTCAAATTTGATTAGAAACAGAAACCGATTTAAAAAGGAAGATCAAAGAAATTAATCAAAGTCTTTTAATAAAAAATATTTCAGTAAACTCTGTTTAAACTGATAAATCAAGAAAGTTCACGTCATATTTCTGGATGAATAATTTCCTACAAAAACAAAAATAACCTGAAAACTTTGGCAAATTGATCTTTTTCAAGTAAATATTGGAGAAAAGGTTTTGGCCGTCGAGGTTTTGATTTAGACCCCGAGTTCAAAGGTCATTAAGAGCTGATCTAAGAGGTTCAGATTGGGACAAAACATTTCTCCTGAGATTAAAATCTCGCCTCGCACCGACCTGACCCGTAACGTTCTGGGTCAGGTCGTTCAGTTGTGGTTCCGTAAACAGAAGTGAAAAACCTTCAGCGTTGGTTTCAGGTTGTGTATAAAAACACGTCAGTTCTGCAGAATCCAGACTGAAATGTTGACTCAAACACAAAATTTAAATTATTTCATGACGCAGCAGTGCCAGTATTAACCCTTCATGTGAACCAGATGCAGACTTTTGATTGTTTTACATGCGGCAGTCTTCAGACCTCCACAGGGTGGCGCTCTGGAGCAAAAACCAACGACTCGATATTTATTTAAATCTATTTTTAAACAGTTGTTCTGATTCAGTTTTCTGATCAGACTGCAGATCAAATCAATCAACAGATTTAAACTCGTCAGGACAGGAAGCTGCAGCGCCTCCTTCCTGCCACCGGGGGCAGCAGCTCACTCACCTTACAGTTGGGGCTGGACTTCTTGAAAACTCTGAGGTGGATTTGGACCCGAGGACGAACCAGAGGAGGACGAACCAGAGGAGGACGAACCAGAGGAGGACGAACCAGAGGAGGGCCAAAGGAGAACCGGAGGAGGGCCAAAGGAGAACCAGAGGAGGGCCAAAGGAGAACCGGAGGAGGAGCAGAAGAAGAAAAGTGTCACATCCATAGACATCATACATAAACACGTTCATATATGATCTCTGTGGTCACAGCAGTTCAGTTTCTAAAAGTTGAACAGGAACAGGAAGTGTGTCAGCTTCCTGTTGGGCTGAAACCAGCCGTGGTTCAGGTGTCAGTGGCCGGAAGTTATTATGGGATGGCACCGATCCTGAACCATGAGGTTTCTGTGCAGCCGTCGGTCTGAGAGCTGACGAACGAATGACGACGTTTGTCGTCTGGACCGGAACCGTTTTCACTCAGAAACCAGTCGTTCAGATTCCAGCAGCTCCTTCAGACGCCCCAGAGAAACCTGTTGGAGCCTCAGCGGTCAGAGCAGGTGGACGGGGACCAGGTGGGTCTGACGTGGGGCCAGGTGGGTCTGACGTGGAGCCAGGTGGGTCTGACGTGGGACCAGGTGGTTCTGATGTGGAGCCAGGTGGTTCTGACGTGGAGACAGGTGGTTCTGACGTGGAGCCAGGTGGTTCTGACGTGGAGCCAGGT